CACAAATACTGCATACAGATCCATATTCTGTTCCCTGCACTTCTCCTGTACTTGCCGGACCACAAAGATCATGTCAGTTGTGCTGCGGCCTGGACGGAATCCACACTGGGCTTCTGGTAGGTTGTGCTCAGAGATGTTGAAGATCAGGCGATTCAGGATGATGCGCGCCAGGATCTTACCAGCAATAGACAGGAGTGATAGCCCCGGTAGTTGCCACAGTCAGATTTGCTGCCCTTCTTTTTGTAAAGGGAGATGATTGTGGCGTCTCTGAACTCCTGGGGAATGTCCTCTTCCTCCCATATGCTGTAGAGGAGGCTGTGGAAGGCGTTAAGGGTTGCTGGTCCTGCAGCCTTATAGATTTCTGCAGGGATCCCATCCTTGCCGGGGGCTTTTCCTGAGCTGGTTTGCTTGATGGCCTTCTGGACCTCCTCCATCCTGAATATACCGACATCAATATCATTAATTTTTGTATTGAATTATTGGCCTCTAGTAAGTCTTGGTTTCATTCCATTTGCAGGTATACGTGAACTTGGAGGGCTATGACAACTAGGAATACTTAGTTATGATTTAATAGAGAAAAAAGGAAAGTGTTTAAAATTTTTGATGTGCAAGGGTTAGGCTCAAACAACTTACTGTAAAAATGCAAGGGGAATGCGGCCATGAGTATTTTCATACAGATAGCATTTAAGATAGGAGAATATCTTATCCAGGACGAAAAATGACAACAAAAAGAGCTGAGTAGTGCGGATTTAAATTCAATGAAAAGAAATTCTGATCCAGAAACGTTTTTTAAGCTAATTGTTTTGGGAAGTTGTTGTTCAACTAAGTCGGGGTATAAAAACATACTCTAATATAATCTGGTTGATACAGTTCACTGCTGTAAAAGGTTGCGCTACTAAAATTTTTGCTAAATCTTGACTGTGACTAACGAGGACGGTTCAACCGCGCATTGCATCGTTCAGTGTTTTTTTTTTTTTTCGGCAAAACTCTCAATAGCTAATACACTGGAATAAATATTTACCAAACAGTCATTTGATTATTACGTTTCCAGTTCCTACCCCGTTGCAAATGTGTTCTTCAGCATAAAAGAACTTAGCCTCACAGAACCACTACCTTTCTGGTAGTATGGTTAGTATCAGCGAACAGGATTGGCCTTTATAGACTTCTAAGTTACTAGAACCCCATCCAGGAGAATCCTTCTTTTCATCCTTAATGCACCAGAATAAACTATGACAGCTTGGACTGCTCAGCTTGTAAAACAAAGGTTTTATTTCTAACAATGTTCCCACAGTTGCCTCTTTTTTTGCGTTTCTGTCTAGTACTAAACTTTTCTTAATAATTGTGCACTGCATACGTTTGCTGTTAATTTTGGAAAAATTGTTTCTTTTTTTGTTGCATTTACGGAAGTCACCTTTCTTCTATAGTAACCACTTTCGCCTTCTGATTTAAGATAACTCGTTGTTACTTTGCGCCAGATGATAGATTTGAAAGGGCACACAGCGGAGCAGTATACACAACATCGCCAAAATGCGTTCAAACGTTCCATCTAAAATCTGTGACTTCTGACCTTACAATTCGTAACCGTTTAATGCCACCCGTCCCCTTTCCTTCTCTACTTGCAAACCTACCCGGCTTACATAGACAGTGCTGATCTTGCTCCTGCATTCTCCTTTACAGAAGACCTTGGTAATTTTCAAATAAAATCCCATCTATTATGGTTTTCAGTGAACATTCTCGACCTGTTAAAAGAGTAGAAAAAATATCAAACGTTCATAGAGTCCTTACCAAGCCTTAAGACTGCATAATACCATAAGCATGTGGGAATTTTAGATAACATGTTAAGCTTTTCTTTCAAGCTAAGAAAAGCTTCTTCTTTTAATGGAAAGCTTTTTTCTAAGGAATTTAATGAAAAATGTATTGGTTCAAGTTCTGTGCGTAATGAATTAAACTTGGTATTAATTAATAGTATGTCGAGAATTTCTCTTGTACCTTATTCCAGCTTTACACCCGTTGATGCGTAGCAAGACAGTCATGCAGCTCTTCATGACAGCCACTTTACAACTATACGTAGTACCATTATGACTATTATACTAACATACTACTGCGTCTGTACAATAGCGCAGACCGACGATATCTCTGGCGCAAGTCAGTATAAGTGAACAAAGCATAGCAGGCAAGAGTCTAAAAGTGTAAGCCATTATTATACGACTCAGTTGGCTTGGTTCATCAGCCATCATCCCTGTTGGATGCGATTTTTACGCGAGTAAGGCTGGTACTCAATTTTTGAATAGTAAAAACTGTAAAGGTATGTGTTTACATTCAGCAGATGCTAACAACTTCTAACGGATAGACAATCACTTTATGATAAAGAAGAGCTATGCGGAAGTTTCATTCCATCATTTAACTTGGATTGATTATTCAAGGCCGCAAAATGTCTCTTTCTAATATATAGCCGTACTTAAGTGCAGTTTAACCATTCAAAACTGTTATCGCTCCCTAGTATGGAACTTCTTTGTAACATTACAATCACATTGTAATCACCAGTTACGGTGCTCTTCTTAACGTATGAATGTCAAGTTGTCGGTCCGAAGGAAGCTCGATCCGCACTGAGTAAGACACATGCACAGTGACTGACGCATAAACGAGCGGTCAAAGAGGCAGAAAATTATCGCCAAAAGGTCGACGTAGCCGTTCAGAAGAATATTAGAGACGTTAAAATAATTATGGCGAAGTCATGTCCGTTAAGACTACTGAGCGTGACTAAGTACGCATAGGACGCACTGAAGGCACTTCAGCCTGACATTATAATAAAAACTTGACTGATATGATGGAGGCCAATCAACTAATGGCTTCAATAGGAGGCTATATGTTTTTCTTTAGGAGAGCCCTCTAAAACGATCGGCTGCCATTTTCAAAATTTTTGTCATTTTCGTTTCTGCTTAATCGCATGACTTGTGCGCAATCGAGTCCATTACAACTACTGCCTAGTCAAGGCTCCTGGAGCCAGGAAAAATATTAGTCCGATCTACTTTTATAAATTCTCAAAAATTCATAGAGAATGTACATGAAATGTTTTAAATGCGTTCATGCGTTTATAACAAGTAGACTTGATTATATCAGTTGTCTAAACTGCAGCGTGTTATGAATGCTAGTGCTCGTTTGGTTTATTGTGCTCCGAAGTCGTGCCACATCACGCCTCTACTTCGCGAATTTCATTGGCTGCCTGTTTGTTATCGTATCGAATATAAAATAATTCTTCTTACGTTTAAGGTATTGCATGGTACGGCGCCCGATTACTTGCGCCATTTAATATCTGTCTTACCGCCGTCTAAGTATAATTTAAGGCGCAACGATGACTCCGCAGCTTTATTAACTTTCCCGAAAATAATATCCAAGAAGACCCTGGCAGATAGATTGTTTAGTTGTGCCGCCCCTAGACTTTGGAATCTGCTTCCTACCACAATAAGATCTATTTCCAGTCTAGATATTTTTAAAATTAGACTTAAAACTTTTTTATTTAATAGGGCGTTTAATTAGTTACTATAGTTGTTATGATTAAATTGCATTATTGATGAATTATTTTATTTAGTTATTTATGGAATTTTAGAATTGTAATCATGTTGAACCTCTATTTTATTTTTGATTTAGTATTTATTGTAAGGCGCAGTTGAATATTTTTATAGAAACTGCGCGGTATAAATTTAAATTTAATAATAATAATAGTAAATGTGACTGGGGGCTGGGACATCTTGCATAAACGTAAATTTCATAAAGAAAGTTCGATTTACAATTAATCCATCTTTTATTTATTTTATTTTATTTTGATTTATTCGCCACGGTTCAACAAATGCAAACAACTAATCTACATTACACAGTTACATGAAAAAAAAAAATAAATAAAGTGGAGTGGCTGGAGAGAGGAACAGAAATTTCGTCCCAAGTGAGACACAATAAATAGGCTAGAATATGTTTTGAAAAAAGCAAGTCAATTTGAGTTATAACCTAACCTCGAGTAATCAATCTTAAGATAGTACTGGAGAAGCAGCTAAATGATTCATTCGATATGAATTCGGTTTCAATTGGAGTAAAAGGGCACTATCAATTTCATAAATGAAACAGTCTAACTGATCAAAGACTATTAGCCATCTTTACCTTTTAGAATATGATAAGCCTCTATGTTTTTTTCCTTCGAAGCTCAAGGTGCAGTAACAAGAAGATGGATTACTGTTCAGTTACAATCGTTACCCTTCTGCATATATTAATGTTCTCATCGGCCGGTCAAGGTATGAAAAGTAATGCTGTAACAGTTTCTACTAGAGATTTGCGTACAGTATTATTTTAATATGAATTCTCAAGTCAAAGATGACGTAAGAGGCCTAAGCAAAAACGTGAAAAACACGAAAAATCAACCTTTGGTATTGAGAATTACTTTACATCTTACAACATGGCGATTAACCTGAGCCGGTCATTAAGTGAATATGTATTGCGAAGTTCGTCGACAAAATAATATCCAACAGACAGGTCGAATCGAAAACATCCATATGCATACCAAATGCACCAGTAGGTCGTCAGATATTCTTAAAAGTACATGAATATATGTTCTTAAACGTTTCGTTGTTTAGTATCGCTAAGTATTTTTACGAGTTGTGCCGTATTTTGACGAGCCCTACAGTACTTAGCGATACTACGCAAGGAAACATTTGATAAGAGATTTATTATTCAACTCGCCGAATTGTTATTTCAGTGCGGGAGAATCTCGCGGATATATATTTACGGGGAGTGCGTGACAGAAGTATGCGAAGCGGAACCGAATTAACGCAGTACTTTCTTCAAATAGATGATGAAATTTCATTGTCGTCTAACTGCTTTTCTTCGTTCGATTTATGTAATAAACTTGGTTAAATATTCGCCGACCATTCCGACTCTTCGTCGTCAGAAAAATAATTTAAATTGTCCGAGATTTGTTTTTTTTTGGAACTTCGATCCAATTGGTCGCTTGCGCGTTGCGAGAAAACCTGTCTAACCGGTCCCCTGGAGCAAAAAATACCGTGAGATATTTGTAATTGTCTTAGGCGATATTTGTACACTACGAAACACAGTTGGATAATAGTTCTTGTCATTTAACATTATCGATTTTTAATCTCAATAATTGAACCGTTTTTGGATATGAGCTAATTATGGTTGGCATGCAGTTTTTGTGTTGTAAAGCACCTGATGACGTTTGTTCTCTGAAGTCATTTTTGAAAAACAGCCAACACCAGGCAAGACTTGGATTTGGGATTCATCGACGTCTTATGGCCTTATGACTGGCGGACCTTCTGGGGTAAGATCTCATATTTCGATTGTTATGTAAGTCCTTCGACCGCAACAGTTGAGGTGACTGATTACTTGCAACTCAAATGTTGGTATAAAAAGCATTTTGCTACTGCTTGTCATGAAGTTAAAAAATCTGGTTCCTAAAAAGTACTAAGTTTTGATCGCCAGAAATAATCAGAAAGATTTCCAGAGCACTTTTCGGGGATTTGTAACTTGCAACCCATTCTCTACTCATTACCTATAATGCTACTGCCCTTCAGGAGTAAATTAAGAGTCAAAAAGTGGACAGGAATCTGAAATCCTGTTCTTCGTATCGGAGACATGATAATTCAAATCCTTTGTCTTTTACTCTTTTTCGATTTTAAATTCACAACAAAGTTATCGGCATCATGCTGCGGCCAATAAAATTTTTCACTGTCTTTCGCTTTTTCTTTCTGAACCTTCTTCCTTATTTGCAACAAATTGAGACTGTCAATGTTAATGAATTGTCAAGGGTACGCTCATTATCCAAACGTTCAAAAAACGAAAACCCTTACCAGAGTCTAAAATTGACTTCCACTTTAAAAGAATTTGGTAGGACAAAGCGTGACCAACAGAAGGGCATTCCACAGTCCACTTGAACAGCTGCTGATTACAACAACATTAAAAATTACTTTGTAACGGGCACTATTTCAAAGGAAAAGAAGATGCAAATGGTGAAAAAGAAATCTGAATCATTGAAACTTTTAGCTGGTGATATGTGTAATTGTATAAAGCATCCCTATTTATTTCGATCTTCTCAATATCCTCACGTTTTACTTTCACTTTGATTTGCGTGTTAGAGTAGTCAAACATGCTTTAAATATGGTCCTTTGATTCTTAAAAATACTGTGTATGTCTAAGTTCCTCCTTCTCGGGGTTTTAGATCCCCCTTGGACATAGGAGCGCGCTCCACATATAGTTCACATTTATAGTAAATTTTTCTTATTATTCTTTTGCGTTGAACTTTTGAAGACTTTGCATTTCCTTTGTCAAGAGACTTAAAGAAAGATATAGACTACCTAAACAACACATTATGATTTTATTATTCATAGCCATATAATTATGTGGTTTAGGTTGGTGATATTTTTTCTTAAAGGACAATCCGCCATCGTTGATCACATCGCGCTTGCAGTTTTGTTTAGGGATCAACTTTAACATTCATTTGGCATGTTGTGTCTCTAGTCTACAAAGTTTAAAATGTAACAAAGATTTACGGCTACCAAAATATTTGACTTATTATTTGTTAAGCTTGAGATAGTTGCTGGTTCACCGAAAAAAAATAAGCCGGAGATATATTCGTTTCCTCTCAACACAAGGAAAAAGAATAGGGTCGAAACACTGACAAGTACATAGAAATCACTCACAAATTTTATCCGGGGTTTTATGCTTAATAATATTGCCGGCTCAAAAGATGGCACGGCATCAATCAACAAAAGTACGGTCAGGGTTTTTCGACATTCTGATTGGTTGTCTAGATATTGGCTTCTAAAGTTGAAGTAGCTAAAATTATGCGAGGCGTGTTGCGTAAATGGACGCAATTACAAACTTACTTTTTCCTGCTTGTATAAACACTGGCTAAATCCATTCTTTAAAAAAAAACGGCGGCAAAAAAAAACCATTATGTCTCTTGAAAATCGTCTTCTTGGACGTCGAAACAACGTTCCGCTATAATCTTTCTTATGGTAACTTGCAATGCTTGTCCCCTGACGACCTCAGAGACGTTTGCGAAAACACGGGGATCCGATGGCTGGCAATTCATTCACTGCTAAAGCGAAAGAGAGGATTCTAGTTGCCTTTTATAAACACTTTATACTTGGGATGTTTACAAATACTCGTGAGTCGGTGTCGCAAAATCCTGCTCTCAACGAAATGTACTCACCTTCTGACAATGTCGCTGAGTCTGACGCTCCCACCATCTTGAAATGCATGCCGCCGTCCTTGGTACACAGCTACTGGTCAATTGCTTTGCCAACTGTGTATTTTAACATTTTCGGACTATTAGAGGTTCAGGGATGCATAGTCTCTACCCTACTTGAATCGCTGAGAAAAGTAGAAGCGTCTACGCACGAATGGGGTTTTTTTTCCTTGTTTTGATGTTAACATTAGCGGATTGTCGGTTATTATCTAGTATTTACCTTTAAGAGCGGCTATTACTTCTTTCTGATACTACATATGCGAAATTGATTGCTGACCCCCTTTCCCACCTATCTTTAATAATCCACACTTTTGTGATGGCTCAATTTCTAAGTCATATCTCGACGAAAGCCAGATATAACAGTAGAAAGGGAGACATTACGTATCAAATGTAAGCAGAAAACCCCGGATAAAATTTGAAAGTGATTTCTATGTACGTGTCAGTTTTTCAACCATTTTCTTTTTCCTTGTGCTGAGAGGAGACCAATATATCACCGGCTTATTTGTTTTTCCAGCACCTATCATGTAAGTCCATAAGTATCACGCAGTAAAAAAGACCAATAATTTTGATCGATCTTTCAGAGAGCTCTCACCGCGTTTAATATTTTAACGAGGCAACGAAACAAATCGAAACTGGCGCATTGTTGACATACTTATCTAACAAGTGATATCAAGCCAAAAGTGGCAACTGAGGCACCACAGAGACATGTACGTACTATCAAGTTCTTTCCTAGATTTCTTTTGTCAAAAAGTTCGGCCACATGCGCCTTTAATGTTCATCATCAAACTGCCCTGTTTCCTCGAGAATAATTGGAATATGGCTGCCAAAAAAGTTCTCAAAAAGGGCTCAACTTGCGCTATTCAAAGATTCTCACCTCGTTCATATTACAACGATACTCTCTGGGAAATTTCTTGTAAATTTCAAGCTATTTTAAGTTAATAAAACAAAGATGTGGTTTACGGAATTTTGATGATACAGACCACAAAGCAGGAGTTACATGTAAATTTCACCTCAGCACGGGTTATGAAATCAGTTGTCCCAAAACTTTATTACTGATTTTGGGTGTCCGGTGATGGCTTTCACTGCCTATGTAGAAATAATGATCAGAAGTGGTTGGTCATCGGAGATATTGGGCCTTAATTATAATATACCCTTTATTTTTGGACTTTGTCAAAACCAGAAAAAAACGTCTTTACTTAAGGGAGAGGTAAGGGAATAAATGGAATGAAAAAATTAAAACAATTCAATTTTTTTGAAGTCTGATAGATGTATAACGCAACTCAGTTGATTGAATTTGCAGATGGCTTTTCATTTTGTCATAGCAGCAATGCAAAGTCAGCTGATGACTAATTATGCAAAAAATTCCAGGAAATTGGGGTTTTCCAAGGGGGACCCTATATCTCCCAGGGAATTAAATATTTCGACCTATTATTCTCACACATTTATTAACTCATAATACTTAGCATTTTATGCCAAGTTGGAAGAAAATCGGTGATTTGAGCTTTATCGCCCTTCCCCGGTTTTGCCCGGTTTCCTCGTGGACACGCTCTTAATACCGGTAAATTTGGGAATTTTCTGCACTACACACACAAATGTGAAAGAAAGTTATTGGTACAGATTTTGCTTCTAATCATTCAGCGGGTGGTCTCGGAACCCAGTATTAAAATTTGACCATAACTTGTGTCTCTTTTTAATATATTCACCTCATCTTGGTGTACCTCACGTCCTGAAGGAAATAAGATACACCATCCTCACAAACGGAACTGTTACGGAATTCGTTCTAATCAATTAAATTGGACGCAGTCATTGCCAAATTGGTTTTTCAAGGGGACTAAGCTAATCTAATAATTTGAACTTGTTATTTCTAATAGTGGGGGAAGCAGACATATTACTCACTCTGTGATGTTTATCTGGATGGATTTCCATAACCAAACAGCTGGGTTATAAGTGATCCCATCGGGGTCGACAATGGGGTGAAAAAAGTCCTCGTTACTATTGACTACAAAACAGATAACTGTACTGCTATCAAAGGAGGGATTCATTGCAAAAACTATTTCCATTTATACGAACATCAGTCCTGGCAACCAACGAGACCCAACCCTGTAACAAACAATACTAGTTATGACAAGATTGCGAAAACAGCTCCTTCAGCTCTTGGCATCAGAAAGTCTCAAAAGTTTCGTGTAGGAGTCAAAAGAAAGTACATCGTTTTGGCATTTCATGACCAGGGTTCATGTAGTGTCCTTTACTCCGTCACTGTTAGTTATTACGTCTGCTCAAGATCGAGTCAAGTTGGTAGCTTAGTTTTTCTACCACAAACAATAGCTCCAGCGAACAAATAAAAAAGTCACAGGGAAAAACTCCAAATATTCAAGACATTTCCTTGTCAGGAAGTCGATCTGTCTGATGTAAAATTATTTGAAAGATTTGTTGGTTTGTGACAGTAATTGAATTGCTGCTTTAATCGTTAGCTGTTGCTGGAAAGTTTTGGTTGATTTAAGTGATCGCCATTTCTGGTGCATTGATTTTGGTGAAAGTTCGGTCCAGAGTAGGTCTTTATTTACTAATGCATATTCATTCAGACCTGGACCTATGCATTAGAGACAGGTTAGTCTTAGTTCGTCGGTGGATCATTAATGAGAAGGGTTCTCGCTGACCACTATTCTATGGAAAAAATTAAAAAGTCATAGTTGCTCTCGTGCGGCGAAAAACAATGACGGAAAACTTGGACAGAAGCATGTTAATGAGTAACTTTTAAGAAAGCGACATGAATGTTTGTCACACCACTTGGTAGCTGTTCAAGTTTATAAAGTTGCCTTTAAATTACAATTGAATTGTCAAATTGTCGTGGTTGTGTTATTCTGCGTGGCCAGTCATTTTGTGTTTACAAGTGAATTTCTTTCTGTAGTAGCAGCATCAGCAGCATATCAAACTGTTCAAACTGTTTCCCCACTGCGATGGACATTTGTTTTTGTCGGTTCCAGCCTTGCGCGGCCGCTAACCCAGATGCCCTCCTGAACAAATTTTCAAAATGGCGGACAAGCCAAAGAGAGAGATAAGAGAACCAAAGCGATTCTGCAACGAACACTCAGCATACACCCCTGTTAAAATGGTCATTTCACAGAGAAAATATACAAAATCGTATGATATTGAAGTCACGGAGGTTGACAAACCCAACAAGAGACTGAAAATTCACTACATTGGCTACAGTACACACTTCGATGAGTGGAGACCCTTCGGGGTTCTGTCCTCGTGTACCGGTTCACAAGAGCCAATATAAAAGACCAAACAATACACAATAGCTAACCGATAACTCCTAAACAAAGAAAGAACAATGGTAATTCCCTTGTGAACCGGTACACCAGGACAAAACCCCCTTCGGGGACGGTGAAGCATCTGAATATTTTCCTTCGAAATTGTATAGATTAGTAGGCTGCAACAAAAATTTATTGGACGACGTTTAGGGTAAAAACAGCAATCTAACCTGAAAAAAATGTATTTATTCCGACTCTTTCGGAAAATAACTTTACAAATCTTACTTGTTTATCTCGTAAGTAAACGATGGTGAAGCGCTTTCCGAGCTACCCGATTCTTCTCCCACTGCTTTCACGCTTATAAAACAGGAAACGAGCAAAAGGAGGAAGGTGTGGCTGTTTTGACTTGCCATTTGACGAGGTTCAATCTGCTCCTTGTTCGACAATTTACATATCAAAACAAAGGAAATTTGCTCCTCTCTTTGATTTTGGCGGTATATTTTCAATTTGCGCTTGCGTAAGAGAGAAATCGCCCAAGACTCCTTGCTCGGTCTTGTTTTGACCACGAACGCCTTCTTAATTTTGACGGACCCGCTCGGGAAAAGGTGAAAATGACGAGGGAAAAACTTTACTTTGTAGTACGAAAATACACAAAATAGAAATCCATGATATTATAGTTTAATATTTCGGTGGTACATTGTTAACTTTTTATACAGAGAGTCGACAAGATGATATAACATCCAAAAATCGCACTCGATTTGAGTGGGCCGATGAAGTGGGCGTGGTCACGAAATTCAGTAAGAGACTATTTGTACCCCGTGAGTTTGATATGATAAGCTTTAGCACTCATAATTATCGTCTTCCTGGAAGAATGAAACTGAAGGGAGACGTCTTTACAATTTTATTGCTAAAACCGAAGTTTAAGGGCACTAAAAACCGAAAAACTGATGTAAAAAATTGCGAAAACCACAAAAACGCGAAAATTCCAATGTCCCACTCTGTAAAGCATGATAGAAACAGTTTCACTCTGACGATATGTAGCTAAGTCAAACTGACAGAGTAGGATATTCTAGGACATATCTCTGACCGTTACGGTCAAGACTTGTTCATACTTAAACTTTAATCAGTGAATAATAATCCAATCGGGTGGAATATGCAAACAAGCCAGACTTTAAACTGATACCAGCTATCACATTTTAGAGAAGTTGAGGCTCATTTTGATCAAGACGTCAGGCAAAATTATACCATCTGTGGCGGATCCAGGATTTAGTCAAGGGGGATTCGGAGAATTGTCCGAGGGCATGCTCCCACGGGAGATTTTGAAAATTAGGTCTTCGGAAACATGATTTCCAGCATTTTGAGAGACAATTTAGGGGGTTCGACCGAACCACCCGAACCACCCCTGGATCCGCCTCAGACCATTACTCAGGACTGATCGTCTAATTTACACCGAGGACGACCTTATTCGGTCGTTACTATTACTGCAGGTAATAATTTTTATTAGCTGTCGCGTATTTAGGAAACAATGTGGAAACAATCAGAAAATGAATCGAGCAAGTCAAAGGCGACTTTTCGATTTTTTTTCATCGAGTAATTTTGATAAAAAGCATGTAATGAAAATGAAAAGCGTGTACAGATGAAAGTTTTTCAGCTTGATCATTAAATATTGTTTAATTTTGACTTATCTGATACACAGTCTCCTATTTACTTTGTTGCACCCGGAAAAGGGACGTCTGCGAAAAGCCGTCGCTTATTGTGTTCCAGCGTTCCGCTGGGTTCTCGTGATCTTGGTAACAGGCTGTGATAGGCTGACACACAGGGCCAGTTGTTTGACTAAACGCCGATTGGTTGTTATCAAATCTGGTCTGATAATGTATGCGGTGATTTATGTAAGCGGGGTTTTCCAGCCAAAACAAATTAAAAACACATGCAATTGTGTACTGTTTTTCGTCGATCGAAAAGCAGAGCGATCGAAATCTTGCGCGAGGGCGCGGAAAATTTTAACTTGTACGGGGAAACTATTTCTTTGCAATTGACAGTGCCTGATAAATCACATCATATTTGTAAAGAGTGTCTGAGAAAACTGCTAAGGCGGCGTGGACTTCGCACTGACTTACGAGAACTTGACGAAGAAATTTCTAATAGCTACAGTTCCAAAGCCTGTAAGACAGGGCTTTCTATCAAGAAAAAGGCCGTCAAGGTACATGATTTAATTGCAGAAAAGTCTGTTTCTCCCTTTTCCACGAGCAAAAAGGGAAATAGGAGACGTCTGCACGCAGGCAACCACCATGTAGCCATTCACAGAAACACAAATAGTCAACTGCAAGACTTCAAATTTGGATGTACATTACGAACCTAACATTGTAGATTGGCCTACGGCAATGTGTGTATTCCAACTAAATAGCCAAAAACCCTTGCAAGTTTTTCGTCTTTACAAGAATGAATTGGGCACTTTCAACCCAATTTTTTTAAAAAGAGCGCAGCTCATGCTTCAGAATGCCATTTACGTGGTCTGGTCACACCGCCAGTCAGAGTCCAACACCTCCTTAGGCAAAAACATCTTTATTCATTTCTTTTACCGTGCCGACAATTCACCATCTTTCTCCTTTCTAAGAACTCACACGGAACCTTCCACATTGTTGGTCTTAGTATTTTTCATGACGCATGTCACATACTAGTTTTGACCTCAGTAGCTTGCCGTAGAGTCTCTGTGGCTCATTGGTAAGGCATCGGGGCGCAGCATCCAAAAGTTTTTTTTTTTTCTTTATCCCGCGCTCGTGACAAGACCAAAAATATCCGTATTCACGTCAGACAAGTTTTTTACCTCCTTTGACACAAATTCTCACTTATAAGTACCAGTTTTTCTGTACGTTCGTATGTAGCCCGGGCAAAGTTTTGTGCAGAATCAAAAAAACCCACTCGGATATTCATGCCCAGCTTGGTCTTTTATCTCCATTCTGACCGAAAAGGCATATTTTCTTGTGCCTTCAGGTTGAAAAGGCATGATTTTCTTATAACCTCAAGTGAAGGGGGCCCATTTCATGTTCATGGCTATTTTGATGGAAAAGGAACGAACAAAAGAAACGTCGAGGAGAAAAACTTTGCGAATTTCAGGGACCGTTCACTCGAGAAACCAATCACCAAAATCTCATCATCTCACTAAGCACCTTTCTAGGCTTAAATCATTGAAAGACTTAACCCTGATAGGATTAAAGAAGCTGGATTATTGGGTTTTCTTTGAGTTGTATGTAGAGATAACATATTTCATTTTCTTGATTCACAACAGGTGAACTCACAACATCTGCTTTAATGATGGACAACTTATTAGTCGCAGTTTGGATTCTTCTACTCTTTGTTACTCTTACATCAACTAAGCAAGGTATGGATAAATAAAGCCTTACGCTATTACTTTAGTTACTCTGGAGCCTTAGTGCTCTCATCATTCCGTATCAGTGCAGTATTAGGCTATTTGAAAAACGATCTTAAAAAGTGTCGACATCTTTTTGAATGAACGGGTGATATTTTTTATTCTTTGATTTACCAGAGACCAGGTCGTTGCTTAAACGGAACAATCTTTTTCAAAATAACTTGGATACTTCGCATGAACTCATTGGTCTAAAAGGGTGTTTAGATGTGGCTTTGTGACGGCGTTTGTGAAATTTTTAGTCACACACCCACGAATATCATTGTATACCAGCTTAAGGGTACTTTCTCTGTGTTTACATGACCTTGGGGTACAAAGTGTGGCATATCAAAATACATATTTTCTGTTCAGTGATTTTAGAGAAACAGCCATTTCCAGAGAAAACATGGGTTTGGAGCCCATCAAGGCCAACGACTGCAAGTGGTGGGCCGAGAGGGGTATGAGTCTATTATTTATCTATTGTAAAGAGAAGAATTCAAGTAAAAGAAATGATCCTCGCAGTGGAGATGCAATTTAAAATAACAGAAAAGAGGGCTGTGACACACAAAAAAATAAAAAATTAAAGCTTCGACGAGATTCGAACCTGCGCTTCCCTGATACTAGTTGGTGGTGCCAACCAACTCAATTACGAAACTAGGAAAGTTTTTGTTGGTTGTTAGTTCCCGAAAAGTAGTCTGAGTTGTACCTAAATATTGTGAAAGTAATAGCATTCCTTTCAAGGTAAACGGGGGATTTTAGCTTCAAAAAGGCCTCGCAATGAAACTCAAAAAGGTTGGCAAGGAGTATTTTTCAAATACCAAATCACTCAGTTTTGCTTCTTTTCATTTTGATTGGGTACTGCTTCCCTCATTTTAAAATGAGAGAACCCCCCCATCCCCCCCCCCCCAGCGGGACTCGTTTGGGCCTTAAACTTTGTTTTCCTAATTTTTTTTTAGTGAATAATGACCCTAACCATAATTCTTGAGTCAGAGAAAATTAAACCACAAAGTTCAGACTGATTGGCAAACAGTATATTTCGTTAACTGTAGGGGTTTGAAGGTTTAAATTAATACTACGATGAAACTCCAAGAGATCTTAGGAAACAAAATGTTGTTTTTTTCCTTGTTTAATATGTTTTGAAAAATCACTTTCTAACCAAAGCTTAGAGTTGTCTACAAGCAGCGGAACTACTGCTAAATTCCTTCTACTTAATTGAATTCTAACTCAGTCATTGCAAAATGGCTTTTCCAAGGGGATTGAGCAATTTAGGCTCATCTTTTAACCACTACACGATTTAATTATTTGAACTGGTTATTTCCAATAGTGGACAAAGCAGACATATTACTCAACTTGTGATCTTTCTCTGGATGAATTTCCACAACCAAACAACTGGCTAAGAAGCGATTCCATCGAGATCCACAGTGGGGCGAAAACAGTCCTCGTTACCATCGAGTACCGAACATTTAACTGTTCATCGTATTCTGACAAAGGAGGGAATTATTGCAAAAACTATTTCGACTTATACGAACATCAGTCCTGGCAACAATCAATTCTCGACCCACTGACAAACAAGGCTAGCTATATAAAGATTGCAAAAACAGCTCCGTCAGCTCTTGGCATCAAAGTGACTCAAAAGTTTCGTGTAGAAGTTAAAAAAAAGTACATCCTTTTGGCATTTCATGACCAGGGCTCATGTAGTGTCCTTTTCTCCCTCACTGTTAGTTATTTCGTCTGCCCAGAATTGCCTCGAATTAGTAGCTTGGTTTTCTTACCACAAACAACAGCTCCGGCGAACAACTCAAAGCCAGTTGAAGTTAACTGTGTTACTAATGCTTTTAACAAGCAAGGCATTCTAAGCCTGGATTGTCAGAGTGATGGGGTCTGGAACATCATTTCACTTAATGGAAGTTGTATATGCCGGGAGGGGATGGAAAATGCAGCAGGAGAATGCAAAGGTATACCACTTAATATGTTAAAATAAGATAATGTGGCAGTGCAGTGTCAAATAATGATATATAAACTAGTTCACTCTGGTAATAAAATGTCAATGACCAATTAAATTTGGTTGCGTTACTGATGGTATTCACGAGCAAGGTGTTCTACCGCTGAATTGTCAAAGCGATGGGTTTTGGAACATGAGTTTAATTTTAATTTAATTTATTTCCATTTCATTGCAATTAAATGGGAATAAACAAAAGAACACACAATAATAACAAATTGGATTACATAACAAGGCAGTGGGGAAGACTAGAAGGGAAATGACGAACCATACATGCTAGTCAACCCAAATACAGATATATAAAAAGTTAATCAAGGTATGTAATTAGCTAGCTGCTAACTACCTAACTGAGTAATCTAACTAACTAACTAACAACCTTACTAACTAAGTACTGGTTTAGCCCAGGTGGTACAGGGGTGCTCAGGGTCGAAAACCCTATCGTTATAAAAAATAGTGCATAGTCTCTTAAGAAAAAGAAACACTACAGTTGGCCGTCCACAATGCATCAGGCAGATTGTTCCATAGATACGGAATCCTATTACAAAATTTTCCCTTAAAAAGTTCTGTCCTGAATCTATTAATGTTTAGTTTATTACTTGCATGTGATCTTAACCTCTCATCTGAACAAAATTGAAAATACGAATTAAGTGAAGAGTTAAAATGCCCGCACTTCAGTTTATAAAAAGTTTAAAGATCCTCGACTTCTCTGCGGTAAACCAGTAGTAGCAGGTTGAGACGTTTTAGGCGTTCATTATAGTAGGGTAACATAAGCCGAATAAATAATCGGGTAACATAAGCCGAGTCGCACGTCGTTGCACCCCTTCTATTATTTTTATCATAGTAATTGATTTTGGGCTCCAGATTTCAGAGGCGTACTCAAGGTGAGAACGCACGAGAGCCACATAAAGGGATCTCAGAGTTGGTAATGAAATTTTGCTTCCACTGATAGTGCGACGAATAAAACCCAGCATTTTGTTAGCCTTGTTTACCTGGGCGTAGATGGGATCATTGAAGCTAGCTGTATCTGACATAAGTACCCCAAGATCGCGCTGCGCTCTCACCCTGCTAAGAACCTTCTCTCCCATTTTGTAGTTACAAATTATGGGGTTGGGTTTCCGTGTTACTGTGCAGAGTGAGCATTTGTCAACATTGAAGGCCAGCAACCAGTTGTTACTCCAGTTCACTGAACGTCAGATGAATAAAGATGGAGAATATGTAGAATACAGGAAGAGAATGCAGCGGTATATACTAACAATTTGTAGAAGTACCAATAATTCTTCAGATGTTAGACTTTTTCAGGCCAGCAAAACGATATGACAGAAATAGATAGTCAATTTTTAGCTCGGTATTGAAAGAACGAATAAGTGTTTTTTGCGTCTCGTCACGAGTACGAGCGTAGGAGAAAAATGATTCGAATTCTTACGACGAAGCAAAGCTCGAATTTCGCGCTCTGTCATTCAGCCACAGAGACTCTCCAGAGTGAACCAGGTCATTACTAGTTTGAATCAAATACGTGTAATCCGTCTTGCAGACTGTCAGGATCAGCAATGTTAAAGAAGTAAGACAGGAAATACGGCGAACATAAGTTCGGTAATGAAATAGAGAAAGTCTAATCATGAGACGAAAAAGCACCATTCTCTAGGATTAGACAGAAAATTAATTTTTTAACGGATGTGTATCCTAAAAACCTCAAGCCTTAGTTATCTAGTTTCCTCGTTCAAATTTCAAGCGAATCTCTGCCATCCCCCTGACCATCCTCGTTTCTTTTTTGTCTTAATCTTCCCATAGCGATGTTTTTCTTAAAACGAGTTTACACTGCGACATAAGCAGAAGCATTAGCGTAAGAAAACCTGAATTTAAAATCTAAGCATAAATAATAAATGGTGCGGGTAGCTTTTACTTTAAATTAAAAAATCTAATCAAATAATAACTCTTTTGTTATTTACGAGAATAAATTTAAAGTAAATGAATTCAAATTTGACAGGATCAATGTCCACATGAGTATGTGAAAATCCCAGTTGAAACGAAAAGAATCTTAATAGGTAGTATTTTGGAAAGTGACTCAGCGTTTGTGATAGGAATGACTTGTATCATGAATGAAGGCTATAGGGAAGGGTAATGGGCTTTGTCTCCGTCACTTGTCACTGCATAAAGAAAACGCTCAACTCCATAGTTAAGCTCAACTCATTCCTCTTTCACTGAGACTGATAATGTAATCTTAATAATTCTATTTCATTTCGTTCTTCAGATTGCCCAAAAGATAAATACAACGACGAAAATGGCTTTAATTGTACAGGTACGGATGCAAATATAGTTTTGTGGTTTTAATAGTACCGGTGCAATTAAACTTAATCGGTAAAATGTTTGTGGCGCCTGGCTCTCTTCACCTCTACGTATTTTAAACTACTAGTGCATCACTCTTCTCCTGATATCTCGAAATTTTGGTTCACTTGTGATTAATTTTGACATCTTTGTGAGACGTTTATCCGTAAACGTATATATTTCACAAGTGTCATTTCTACCGTATGAGCAACTGTTGAACAATATGACGCAATACCCAGATATAGCCATCTAGCACAGAGATGACACGAAATACGTTAGACTGTTTCTTTAAAACTTGCTCTTGCAGACTAACATGGAAAATTATAAATATATTCGAGTGAAGGAAACATGCGTTATGACCTGTTTTATCGGGCAGCCGTTTAGCTTTCCGAGGGCGGATTTCCCTCGAAATAATAAAGAAAATAAAACAGTTTAAGATCATTCCTGATTAGATATTGTTTTTAGTCTTCTGACAACATATCCTAACTCAGTTATACCATCAGCCCCGGAAAATTTCAAAGTTATCTTCGTTAACCAAAGCGCGTTGGAATTACGGTGGCAGCCTCCTGCAGTGACCGGTGATCAAACCCAGGTGTTTTATGACGTCGACTGCCGAAAGCAGTGTGAAGGTGAAGACGAGAATAAATGCTTCGATAAAGCTTGCGGGGATGACGTCATTTTTATACCAAGAAGGGATGGCCTCAACATTACTCGCGTTTTTGTTGGAAATCTATCTACATTTGTATTCTACACCATGAGAATCTACGCTAAGAACCGAGTGAGCGAAGTAGCGAGCGGAAAGTATGGAGTTGCCGCAAACTTCTCAACAATAACACTGAGGACTAACGGATCAGGTAAGTCAGATCCTGGAATAAATAGAATATCACACAAATTCCCATCTATCTGCTTTTATAATGATGTTTGTTTATAACGCGCGCTGTCGTTGGATAAGAGCGTCTTTTACCAGAGGCTATAACATAATGAGCAGTGGAGCGGAGCAGAGCACAGTCAAGGATTCTTTGTTGGCTAAATCTGTTGTTTCAGTGTAGAGACTTAAGGTTACATCACAGCTGATTTTAGGAATGAAGTTCATGACATCCTCGGAGACCCAGGGGCTGAGTCGATTTGAAGTTAGGGCATGAAGAGCCCCTGGGGACATTGTCTTACAAGACTAGTTCCAAACGGTCGCACTCGTTCTGCCATCTGATTGGTGCCAGAAAATCTTTGTGTTTTTCTGCCCAATCAGAGTGAAGTGTGCTTTAGAGTCCTTTCGTGTGTTTTAACACGGACATATACTAGTAGCTCAGTTTCTCGCTATGTTTGGCTGTAACTTGCGACGGAGATTTGCTTGAGGTGAAAAGTTTCAGTCTCAGCACACAATGTAAGAGAAGTCGATCAGATTGTCCGCGAAAATCTTACCGGAAATCATACTGAATACTTTCGCAGGTATCACTAGAGAAAGTGTTTTAAAGTTTGCTAGGTTTGTATAAAACACGATGATTGCAGTCATTGATACGTCGCTTTAAACGTTAAAGGAGATTTAAGCTTAAATCTTTCTAGATTTTTTGCATAATTTGCTGTGACTGAAACTTTGCCAATCCCATGAAGTTATTTCGTCGCACGGGCCACGCAGGTATGTCGAGCAACTGGTTCTTGCGCAACTTTCCGTGCGTGCCAAAATCTGTCATCTTCGCTTGAAAAAAAAGAAAAGCTGAGCGTGGAAACTTTTGCTTATTAGATGTGGATAGATGATTCTGTTCTACTAAGCTGACATTTGCAATAAAGTAAACCCACCCTTTCCATCCAAAATTTCTTGGTCTTTGGTTTTGTTTTTCCCACTGAAAACAGCATCGGATCGATTCCCAATGATCAAAGGTATTTAACTTGGTCTTAAACAATCGACCTAAGAGGTGAAATGACAATGACCAAGGGACAAGAAGAGAATCCGTGGCCTTCCTGGCTCAAGAATTTCAACACTCTAGGCAGCAGTTGAAAGATTAAACTCTTTCCAAAGCCC